ACAATCGATGAAGGACTTATTTCCAGAACAGAGAGAATTTCTACAAGTCATAAGAAAAAGACCACAACCGAATAGAAAAATGGGAAGACTTAAACTGGCACTTCCTAAAAGAAGAAATCCAAAAGACTAATAAACAATGAATAGGTGTTCAATCTCATTAATAGTTACATAACTAGTCATTGAATTAAATCCACAATGAGGTATCTTCACATTTAAGTCTAACACTATACCAAGTATTGACGAGGATTTGGAGCAAAGAGAACTCTCATGTTTCCGGTGGTACAATTGGTACAATCACTTGGGAAAACAGTTTAGCATTAGCTAGTATAGGTCAAAATATGCATACCCTAAGACCCAGCACTTCTATTCTTAGGAAAATATTCTAGGAAAACTCATGTGCATATTGACATGGATACTGAACACGAATGTTCACAGGGGCATTGTTCATATCACTCCAAACTAAGAACCCCAATGTCCATGTATGAATCACAAAGATAAATTATAGCATAGTCATATAATGAATGTACAGCAATATACAGCATACACAGCAATGAAAAGGAATAGGTCCAAAGACAACATTCATGAATTTTATAAACATAAGGCTAAGCAAAAAAGCAAGACATACAAAAATAGATACTTTATGATGCTATTTATAAAAAGTTAAAATGTCTTCTTTTTGTCTCAATTTCATTTATTTCTACTCTGATCTTTATTACTTCTTTCCTTCTACTAATTTTGAGTTTGGTTTGTTCTCACTTTTCTAGTTCCTGGAGGAGCATCATTAGGTTGTTTATTTGAAGTCTATTTTTTTGATGCAGGCATTTATTGCCATAAACTGCCCTTAGTAGTGCTTTTGCTGTATTCCGCAGGTTCTGGTATATTGTTTATACTTTCATTTTTTCAAGAAATTAAATACATTTATAAATGAATAGAAAAGTGGTAAGAAAAGCAAAAGTAGGAGAGTGATTACCCCTAGAGGGGAAGGAAAGGTTTGTTGGGAAGAGTTGCACAGAGGTCTTCTGGGGGGTTGGCAATGCTCTAGTTTTTGACCTGAGTGGTTTTTATAAGGGTATTAGCTTTATATTTATTCATTATACTGCACATTTCTGTTTTACATATTTTTCTGTGTTTTATGTTTGAAATTTTAAAAACCAATTAGGAAAAACAATCTGGGTGTTTATCATCCAGAGAATGTATAGATAAATGTGGTAGTTGTAAATAAAAGAATATGATTTAAGAGTCAAAAGTAGTAATTCTATTTATATTTACAGGTATGTGGAAAGTTCTCAAAACCAAGGTTGTACAAAAGAGAAGAAATAGTAAGAGGTTTACAGCACAGTGCTATATGTATGCGTAAGTTTTGTAAAAAAAAAAAAAAAGAAACAACAACACAAATATGAAACAATGATATGTATTTTTCAAGAATATCCAAGTATCCAAATAAATCCATGGAAGGTGAATCAGAAAGGTATATATACATAAAATATACATACTACAGTGGGTGGCTAATTGGGTAAGAGTGGGTATCAGCCAACTTTTTCTTAAAGGGCCAGATAACAAATACTATATAGGCTTTCCAAGCCCTTAGGTATTATGGCAACTACTCACCTCTGCCATCGTAATTCAAAAGCAGCTACCAATAATAAGGAAACCAATGGGTGCAGCTGTATTCCACTCCAATAAAATTATACTGACAAACACAAGGAGCAGGCCTGGGCTGTCATTTGCCAAGCCCTGCAAAAGGGGCTTGGGTTAAGGGAAAGAAAGGAAGGGGGAAAATAATAGAGGCTTTGCATGGACCCATGAGAGAGTGTGCCTCAAAGTAATTTCAACTCAATTCTGGGGGGAAAAATTCATTTATAATTAAGAGGCAATCAAAGAAAGACATAAAAAAGAAAGGTACCTTTTTCTTGTTTTGATTTTCTTCCACACTTACCTCCTTGCTGTCTGTCACAGGAACCCACTTAAATATCCTCAGGGACGTGTCACCTACAGTCACCCATTTTTTCTCCCTAGGAGAAAGATATTCTTTAGAACTGATAAAATAAGTTATCATAAAACAATAGTTTTCTGTTCATAATTTGTGATTTTCTACTTCTCGGTAGATCATTCCTTCAATTTGGAATGTCTTGTAAACTTCCTCTCCATCAAATTATAGTTTGTTTTGGTGCAAAAATCACCTATTCCAGAAAGATTTCCCTCTCAAATTCCCTTGGCTCTGAATCCTCTACTTGCCACCTTCTCTCACAAACAATGCACCAGAGCCTTTCCTCTCTCTTAGACTACACCAATGTAGAGCATCATCACATTTTCAAACTCAGGTATTTACCTGGCATCATTTACTTTCCAAAATTAATTTAATTCCACTGATATTTATAAAGCCCTACAATAGAAGGCCCTGCAGGAGATAAAGAATGTATAAGATATCCCTACCTTGGGAGCTCATAAGAACAAAAAAGGTAAGGAAGGAAATCACTAAAATGTGAAGGTGATAAGGGAGTTAAGAAGGCAGCTGAAAGACAAAGTGGGACCAGGCCATCCCTCGGAGGGAGAATTCCTCTGACTCCTACTCTGGGTGAAACACAATCTCAGGAGCAGGACAGGATGCTTCCAGCAGACAGAAACGAGCCTCACACTGGCTTCCAGAGGCAGTAAAGACTGAGCCATGGGAAGACCACTTTAAAGAGGAAATAATTTTTACACAAGCCTTAAAAAATGAGTAGTTTTCTTCCTCCAGGCATGTACCAGACAAGAGACACTGTAGAATAAGGGTGTAGATTACAGACAGAGGTAGGGAGCCTGAAGTTGTGTTTGGGAAACAGTAAATATAGTTTGAGACTGTTCTAGAGAAGAGATTAAACCTCAAGCTGACAGTTAAGGAATCACCACACACACACGTGTGTGCGGGCGCACAACACCATGGTGCACCATATTCTTTTTTTACTTACATGTGAGTTACTTTGTATGCTTTTCTCACAAAATAAGCAAAGGCACAAGGAGGGATGAAAGTATTGCCCAAGGTCACTCTCTAAATCACTATTAAAGCCCCACAACTCTACTACACCTAATTAAACTAAAATACTACTGTTCTGAACTTGCCCATAGAGCACCTTCAATGTACTCTAATGGCTGCAAACCACTGTGTGTGGAGGAGATACAACAAAGGAGACTCTGTCATTCCAAGAAGTTACTTCCCTAAGCATGTCAGGCAGAGAACGGATCTGCTTTTTTTAAGGCCCACTGGTACCTTAAGAGGTGCTTGCTGTCAGCAGGAACAAGGGCAATCACAGAAGTTGGTTCAGATCTGTCACAGATCTGTCATGGATCTGAACCAACTTCTGAAAGTTTCAAGTCCAAATATGAAGTTAAAAAAAGCAAAAAAAGTAACAGTTGTTGCAGCTGTTGACATTGTTCAGCAAATGATGGCATAATAGAAATGTAAAGAGAGACTGTGATGTAACAGAAAGAATAAATTAGTCTTAGAAAATCGGAGCTAATTCCTGAATAGGCCATTCCATGTCCTCATTTTTCAACAAATACTTAATATACACAAGAGCCTGTTCTAGGTCCCAGGGATTCAGGGAACAAGATGCACAGTCTTTACTCTCACAGAGTCTGAATTACGGCAGGAAACAGACATCAACAACTCACTTCACAATTAGTCACTTACTCATTAGGTTTAACCATATGAAACTGTACAAAAATGTCACATATAGGAAATGTCTTAATGGTTCAATCTGTGGAAAGTTCCATGAAGATGACCTAATCTAGACTGAGAATCTCAAAAGGTGACCATCAATAAGCAACTTTCCAGGTGAGCTAGGAGTTAACTAGGCAAGGGGAGGAGAGGAGAAAGGAAGAAGAATGTCAGACAGCAGGAATAGCAGAAAGATGAACAGCATTCTGGGAAAGAGCCAGGCAGATGAGGCAGGTCTTTACTTAAAAGGAAAAAGAGACCACTGAAACATTAATTTCCAAGCAGAGGGGTGCTATGATAAAATGTGCCCTATTATTTTTAAGAGACAGGGTCTTGCTCTGTTGCCCAGGCTGGAGTGCAGTAACACATCACAGCTAACTGCAGCCTCCTGAGTTCAAGCAATCCTCCCGCCTCAGCCTTCTGAATAGCTGGTCTTACATGCCACATGCGGCTAATGATGTGTACTTTAAAAAGACCATTCTGGTACTTGGAAGTGAGAAAAATGCAACTACTCAGTGCAATGTCATGAATGGATTGGGGACCGAGCAAGAGTGGAAGCAGGGAGATCACAGGGAGGACGGTACACAGTTCCACGTGAGAGAAGATGGTACTCTGGCTGCTAGGGGTGGGGGTCACAGATGGGGAAGAGAAAAAGGTTTTCCCATTCTTAGGTTTCACCAAAACCTAAGGAGGATTAAATGTAGAGGGAGAAAACTACGAATTATTTAATATTTATATTGAGTCCCAACTATATACTAAGCCCTTGGATACAAAGAGAGAAGGAACTTTCATCTGGTGGGAAAACGGACAAATAAACACACAAAGTCCAGGGTACCGATGCCCCTAAAGGAAGTGAAGGGTGAGGGGTGGGAGGTGTTCAGAAAGGCTTCCCGGAGGGAGGTAACACCTATCTGTGCTTTTAAGTTATTGGGAATAATTAGCTAGAGAAAGAGCGCAAGAAGCTGGCTGTGAAAGTTTAATGTGCTGATGCATCAGAGTTCCTGATAAAAAACAGGAGCTCAACCAGCGTCTTCAATGAACATTACAGGGGCCGTTTCCAAACGACTTTCCTCACAGCCCCCGGGGCACCAAGAGAAAATGTGCGCGGCGTGTGAGTACTGGGAGAAAGGAGGGGTTTCCATTTCGAGCACCGCGCTTGCTCCCGCGGCAGGTGGATTTACCGAGAAACTCACCAAACTTCAACGACTTAACACCTGCTCAGCGTGGCGGACTGAAACCACTCAGGACTGTTCGCAATTATCAAGGGACAGCTGAGAAACGCGCGAGGGGATGCAGCCCGGGAAGGAGGGAAGGACGCGCCCTCGGCCTGGGCCGGGCGCGGCCACTGAGACCCGCTGACGGAGCGGGACCCGGAAGCCCGCAGCCCCTCCCAGGCGGCGCGCGCCCGTGGCAGGTGGGCGGGCCCGCGAACCGGGCGGCCCGCTGATTGGCCAAGGCCGGCGCGCCCTCTGACCTCACGCCGACGCCAGCGACACCCTCCTCCTGCCTTCTCTTACTCCCCCCTCCCCCCAGCGCCGGCCGGTCGGCTTCCACCCTGCCCGCCAGTAGAGCGCTCCCCTGGGACTGGGCCCGCGACCCCCGCCAGCAGCCTCGGCTCCGGCCCCTCACCATTTCCGCACTTTCTCGATGGCCGCCATCACCTTCTTGATGTCGTCCTTGGCCCGGCTGCGGGTCTCGGCCCGGACCGACCGGCCCGACATGGCGGCGGCGGGAGCGGCGGGGGCCAGGGCACTGCTCCCAAGACACCGGCGATCGCGCGCCTCACGCGCCACCGCCCGCCCGCCGCCGCCGCAGCGTCACCGCGGCCGTCGCCCCCTCCCTGCGCGCGTGCGCGAGACAGCGCGCGCACCCGCCCGCCCCTTGGGGCGCGGGGCCTCAGCGCGCCTGCGCGCCCCGCCCCAGGCGTCCGTCCCGAGCGCCTCGTGAGGCTTCTGGGCCCCCGCGGGGGCCGAGGTGTACTGTGAGCCGGCCGCACGTGCTGTGGTCACGGCGAGGGGTGAGGTGCGAGGCGCTGGCAACAGGGTCCTTAGTTCTTTCCCAGGAGTTTTGGAGGTTGGCACTTTCCTGCGCTGCCCAGCGTTGCTGCCCCAATGTATATTTTATGCACTTGACCCAGTGGAACTGAGGTTCTGCACGATCTCTGTCCTGCGTCTCCTGTTCAGCGCCCTTGCCCTCCCCTCTACCGCTGTGATCCAAGTAGTGGGAATTTCACACCTTTCTTCAGTATGCCTCCCAGCCTTTGCACACACCTGTTCCTCAACTGGAATACTCTCTCATATATATTTTCACTAGGTGAACTACGTATTCTTCCAACATTAAGTTCAAATTCTGGCCTTTCCCAGATATCCTAGGATTCCACCTTGTTCATACTTAGCACTCTACTTGACTGTCTCATTTAATTAAGCAGTCGATTAAATGATGCCTATTTTGGCCAGGCATGGTGGCGTGTACACCTGTAGTCTCAGCTCCTCCATAGCCCGAGCAGGAGGATCACTTGAGCCCAGGAGTTTGAGGCTATAGTGCGCTATGATCTCGCCTGTGAATAGCCATTGCACTCCAGCCTGGGCAACATAATGAGACGTCTCTCTATCAAAAACAAAAACAAAGAGATGCCTATTTTGTGCAAGGCCCTCTAAAGAGCTGAAGACAGAAGCGTTTTTGCTTTCAAAGAGCTTCCGGTTAAGTAGAACATGTAGACCAAAAACTAGATATTTAAAAATGCTGTTTGATAAATGCTAGGCCAAGGGAAATATAAGGTGCTATGACCACCCTAATCTAGAAAAAGTGATCTTGAAGCTGATCTCTAAAAATAGGGTAGATGCTATTGTTTCAAGAGCTAACTATTCACAGACACTGTAGAAGCTCAATAAATGTTTATTTGAATGAATGTTGGATCTTCAGTGCAGCTCCTTTGCTCTTTTGCCCCTGCCCACAGTGTGCAGGGTGGGTCCTATAGCAGCTGTTTTAAGAGGCATATAGGAAGCAGGTTGGTAGTGGTTGCTTCTCCATTTCTAGAGAAACTTCCTTCTGTGTGCTCTGAACAAATACCTAGCTAACCCTGAACTTGACACAGCTTCTGATTATGACTGTTAACTTTTCATGATTAACTAACATCAGGGTTTGATAAACATATGTGGTTTTGCTGGTGAGGGGGACAGAAATATTAGCTTCTACCTGACTGAGGAGTAGAAGAGCTGAACCAGCATGTGGAACGAAAAGATGATTCTGGAAATAACAGGATCAAAGGTGGCACATTTGTCGTTTATAACTCAGGCACTGCCTGAGCACCTGCTATATGCCCTACAGCATTGGGCACTGTGGGTGACACAAAGATGAGTAAGACACACTCCCTGCCCTTGAGGTGAATTCAGGAAAGCAATAGGAAAAGAGAAAGAAAAGCAGAACATGACGAGTGTCAGGAGAGAGACTCCTCCAATTCTGTTCATAGGTCCCCCTGATTCAGGCACACAGCCCCACACCTGGCAGTTAAGTCTAATTTCTCTCTCACCCTTGTCCAAGTCGTGGCTAGCCTCCTATCTGAGGTTTCTCATCTACGGCTTCTTTCAGCTCCACCCCCACTGGCCTTCTTGCTCATCTGATAAGACGCAGCCACGCTCCTGCCTCAGGGCCTTTGCACTTCAGCTCCCTCCACTTGGAACACTATCCCCCATATATTTGCCTGGCTCACACCCTCACCTCCTTGAGGTCTTTATTCAAAAATTATCTTCTCAATGCAGCCCTCCCTGGGTACCCTATCTAAGACTGCAGTATCCCTCCTCCCACACACTCTGTATCCCCCCTCTCCAATTGATTTTTTTCTAGAGCTGTCATCACCACTTAAGACTGTGGTCCCCAACCCCTGGGCCCAGGACTGGTACCAGTCTGGCCTGTTAAGAACTGGGCCGCACAGCAGGAGGTAAGCAGTGGGTGAGTCAGCAAAGCTTCACCTGTATTTACAGCCACTCCCCGTAGCTCACATCACGGCATAAGCTCTGCCTCCTGTCGGATCAGCCCTGGCATTAGATTTTCAAAGAGCGCGGACCCTACTGTAAACTCTGCATGTGAGGGATCTAGGTTGTGTGCTCCTTATGAGAATCTAATGCCTGATGATCTGAGGTGGAGCTGAGGCGGTGATGCTAGCGCTG